CCCCTACCATACTCGTCGGGCCCGTCGGAGGACAATAGGGTGTGGGATCGTGACCATGGGTAGTGAATGCCACTCAGGTGAGAGTGCGCTCAATACTTTGAAAAGTATGAATCAAAGCCAACCACTGAAAACAAAACACAGCACGTAACCACAAAAAGCTGGACAAACAAGTCCCAAACTACATATAATAGCTCCTAAATATTACAAAAGAGTCAAATGCAAAAAAGGCCCAACAACAAATACATAGTTCCAATACAAAGTGAAATATATTGCCAAACTGCCATTTAACACATATAATTAAAAAGAAGCTTCCATAGGGAGGAAGTAAGGGGCTCCAATTGCGATCATCAAAACACCCTTCCAAAACCCGTTGGCTATCACTCTGCATAGAGGAAAGTTAAAAGAGTGAGCTTCACATCCCAATAAACAAATCAAGGTGCCATGCTTTTCTGTCTATGAACATTATCTCATAATAATAATCAAGATGTCATGTAAATCTTAGAAATATGTAGCCATGTGCCCAAATCATATTTAGCAATGTGTCGTGCGTGATTCAGTTCATGGTGGAGCAATAACAAATCAGATGTCATATCATTCAAGAATGAGCATCAACATTGATCAACATAATCAGGCACGTATATATCAAGCATAAACAAAATCAAGGGATCCTAATATCACCTACTCTTGAAGTAGAAGCCCTATCCAACAGGCCAATCAAATTTCGATGCTTAGAACTTCTACTATCACTCTGGAGGGAAGCACCACCAACGGATGACTCGTTGCGTAGTGCCTCACACACACACACAGTCCCCAGTGCGCTTTGAGGCATTTGATAGGCAATGGCCTTGCAAGACACATCCCTATCCTTGCTCTCTAGCTGGAGGGCGTTACACTATCAACGGATGCCCCGTTTCATAGTGCCTCACATAGATTTTGGGGGGCGCGACCTTCCCAAATTACTCACATCCTAACTCTCTTCATATTATCGAGAGTTAGGGAAAGATCTCAATTGTCAACACAACTTTCTTAGCATATCACATCTGTGACATGTCTTATTACAACCATGCATACATATCATTTCATAGGCATGTCTTATTACAACTATGCACATTCATCATTTCATAGGCATGTCTATTATAACCATGCACATTCATCATTTCATATGCATGTCTTATTACAACCATGCACATTCATCATTTCATAGGTATATCTTATTACAACCATGAACATTCATCATTTAATAAGCATGTCTTATTATAACCATTCACATTCATCATTTCATAGGCATGTCTTATTACAACCATGCACATTCATCATTTTATAATAGAGCATGCAGTTGTTTCATAATAGAGCATGTCTGATTATCATGTATTCATTTCATAACAGAGCATGCCTCATTATCTTAGAGAATGCATTCATTTCATAACAGAGCATGTCTCATTATCATGCATTCATTTCGTAACAGAACATGCATTCATTTCATAACAGAGCATGTCTCATTATCATGCGTTCATTTCATAACAGAACATGCATTCATTTCATAACAGAGCATGCATTCATTTCATAACAGAGCATGTCTCATATTCAGGCATACATTTCGCATTAGCATGCATTCATTTCATAACAGAGCATGTCTCATTATCATGCGTTCATTTCATAACAGAACATGCATTCATTTCATTATAGAGCATGCATTCATTGCATAACAGAGCATGTCTCATTTCAGGCATACATTTCTCATTAGCATTAGATTATCATGCTCACATATCATAACAAAAACATGTTATACATATGCCATTTGCGATCCCGCTCAACTTTGTGAATTCATCATTGGTCCTCGAAACATGTCAAGTGGAAGCTGTGTCCACCAACAATTCCTCAAGTTATAGTTAACAATTAATGATTACAAAACTACACAGATTAATTCATTTCTCTTGTTTTGATTATTATTATTATTTCGAGTATTGTTATTATTCATGTTCCTAATTTTGTTTTTCAACTTATGACAATTGGCCTTGATATCTCCAATTTCCTTCCAGTAAAAACATGTCATCTTGGCCTGCTTTTTTATTTTTTAAAATTTATTCTTTTTATATACCTATTACTATTATTATTATTATTTTAATGATTATTAAGTTTATTAAGAATCTAGGAAGTAGAACTTGGAGCAAAGTGGAACTCATTTGACTAAAATGAAACTCATTTGACTTTTGTCTCTCTTTTTTTCTTGGCTCCACGCATGGGAAGTTTTAGCATGGTCATGGCCCATGCAGAGTGGTACAAAGCAATCATAACTAGTTTACAAGATGTAGGGAGATATTAAGAACATGGACACTTGCATGCAATCACGGATTAGATTCTTGGCCACAACAACGTCCTTTTTAGCACCATTATTTTGTTGACATGCTTGGTCACTTACTTCGCTTCCTTCATCCTACAAGAGTTGTACTTTGTTAATAAGAGTTGAACATGGGTCTTAGAAGTAGTCATACTTCTTAGATAAGGTGGTATGGTCATCAAATACCCTAATTAAGTCATCTTCCATATAATTTCGCATTGTGGTCCTAGCTATTTTATCATCTGCCAACCATTTTTATAATCTCCTTCTAGCTTGACCATTGGGATTAAGGCTTTAAAGCTGGTGGATTTGAATATAGAACATAATCCTATCATTGTCACCTATTTTTCTTTTTCGCATAATTTTTTTTCATTGATTTTTTCAAGTTCATTTTTGCATAATTTTTTTTCATTAAGTTTTTCAAGTTTTGATAACTCCACCATCACTAGCCTAGATTTTTCAAGTTTGCCTAAAATTGAAAGGTATTAAAATGCAAGAAAATTAAGATAGAAAGTTTAACTAAAATTTGAGTTTTGGAATAGATCTTCTATTAATACGTTACTGATTCTATATGGGCTGTGATCCTAATGAAAACTTCCCCCAATAGTTTGTTTGCACATTGATGTGATGCAATAGGCTACTGATTCTTTTGAATGTTAAAGGTCTCCAGAGACAAAAAATATAGTTGGACACTTTTTACCCTAATGAACTCAATTCATAGAGTAAATAGTAAATGGTTTGGCAGGGTAGGAACCAATTAACTTCCATCGCAATAATAATGGAAATATAATAATGAGATAATGTTTATGTGCACATCCTTTACAAAAAGAAATGATGAAACCCAACGAAGGAAGGAAAGAAAAATATACTTACATAGAGTTCATATGAATATTGACAGATTTCTAAGAAATTGTAAAATATTAAAAAAAAAACACCATGGTAAGTTTTCAACTTTTAAAACAGAATTACGAAGAACAATTCCACGGAGTAGATTATCTAAATTCTACATGAAACTCAAGATAAAAGGGGAAAAGTTGTTTAACAAGAAACCCAATACAAACAAGATTTTGAAGGCCGTTATTTTTGCTTCAAAAAAGAGAATACAAAAAACAAGTGTAAGCTTCGAGATCATGGGGATTGCAAAAAATAAAGCACTAGGTACATCTGCTCTGATACTAGTGTTGGATTATATATCATAGAGAGAACAAGGTTCCTATAGAATGATCAAGTAGCTTTCTTGGTAGCTCCTCTGATGACCATGTAACCCTATCTTACAGAGAGAGGGCAGACTATTCTCTAATGTTTAGCTTTTCTTCCTGAAATCTTTGAAAAGTGGCCCTCAAGATCTGGGAACAAGGAGTGTGTACAAGGAACCATTGAAAAAGTTCTCTCTAAAGAACGGCTAATGATTGGTGTGAGACTTTGGACAATGGGATACTTTTGGGATGACAATTAGTTAGTTGCTTCTAGGGTGAATTCTGTGGTAAATTTATGGTATCGGTATAGGTTTCTCTACTGTTCAGGAGGTGTTATGCTGTATAGGAATGTTCCTACGTGTACTCAAGAACTTGGTTTAAAATCTAGGATGAGGAAACACTCTCAGCCAAGTCAAGAATACTTCACCAATGCTCTGTTGTCTATAGTTTTACCTCTTTGATGATCATTCGGCATATAGAGCAAGATGATTATCGAAGAAGTAGACGCGTGCAAGTGAAAAGTATCTGGATACACTTGCTACAATCGGGATCCGAGCTGAAGGAATACAACACCGTCATTTTACAAAGAACACGACCCAAAGTTTAAATGAATAGGACTGCATACATTTTAAAAAGACAATTAACATTTTGGAAATCAGAGAAAGTTACCTACCTAGATTTGTATCGTGCCATCGTGGGATACAACTAGATGTCATTTTCCCCGCGACTGGGGTCCGGTGTGAGATTTTTACAGTCCTAAGATGCTTGCGGGAACTTACAAACGTAGAGGTGCAGGCCTCATCCTCTCCAATTTGAATGAAATTATTTTCAAGCTATTCTATCCAAATACCCATACTAATCTTTCAGAATTGTCTCTTGCCTTTACGGGATTAAATGTGAAAGGTATTACCGCCTACCCAAACCCTGCTTGAATATTAGCTGATTGGGACCTGCGATTTCAGTTCAGGTTTTGCCCTAATTGGGGAGGAGATTCATAGAAACAAATGTTTCATCACCCAACAATTGAAATTGCATTGGCGCATGGTAGGTATTGGCACACGTGAGAACTGAGGCGTTTAAGAACCGTGTGTTTGAGCTGTGAATGCAGCAAATAGAACGTTCCATTAATTCAAAAGATCTTATCTGTGTAAAACATCAGCCTGAGGTTCAAGGTCATACTACTTTTGCTTGTCCAAAAAAAAGAAGCACTTTGGCTGATTCAGGGAGGACGGACTTGGTTTCTTTTTCAAACAAAAAATTCAAAATTAATACACAGTTTCTTTTGTATATAGTTTTTTTAATGTTGGCAATATTTTGGAAATTTTGTTGATATTTTATCAATGTTTCAAAAATGCTGTGGTAGTAGCTCCAATTCAGCTTTCAGTTTTGAACCCAAAGCTGAAGACCTCACCCCCTTTAGCCGAAATGCGACGAATCTAACATGATTCCATGACTCAGACTTAAAACTACTCGAGTTGCTCGGACCCAAAAGATGAATGGCATGGAAATAACTCAAACAGGCTGTCCAACCAATTCCCAAGGTTGCGGTATTAGAATCACATAGACTCACCCCACGAAAGACTGGCCATTTCTCATTTGACCAGGCAGAGTAAGATGGCATAACTCAGGTCTGGGACCTTTCGTAGTGATCAGCATGTCAATCCGGTGCACAATGTGGAGAGTTTCTCATTCAGTCTAAGACGTGTCATGCGCAGATAGGGAAAGAAGGTTATATGGTTGTAACGTTCTGTTTGCAACTGGTGGAGAAGGAAACCCAGTAAAGGAAAAAGGCAATAACGTCCCGGCACTTTTGCATCCATGTAATAACCGAAAAAAACGGAAAACGTGAAGCCCTTTTGCAAAAATAATGTAAAACACCATGATATTGTGATTCGGTTCCGGGGCTCCCAAAAATTTCGGAAACATTCCCAAACATGCTGCAAATCTACACAATGTAATGTAATCACAATTAATTATAATCAATGACAAGAACTTGTAATATAATTCAACAAAAGTAATAGATGAGTTTTGCAATGTACATACAAATATGCCCCAAGATTTCTGATGTAGATGTGAGGGCAAGGTGCATCCATGACACAAACACCAAACAAGCAGAAAAAGCATTTCATTGAAGGGAATTATAAAATAGGATCAGCACAACAGCAACCCCAATGATGACCGGTAGGGCTGTGACAACATATAACATTCCATATCCCTGCAACAAACTTGGCTTATAAAATTACGCATAGGAGTTAAAACAATGAGATTTCAGAGAGAAGAGTTGTCACTGAACGAACCAGAACCGAGGGAACTTCAGTTTCACCAGCCTCATCAGCTGAATCTATATCTACGGCTGAATCCCAGTCAATGTTCAGTCGTTTAGTGGCTAGTTCAGGATCAATACCCGTATCAGTGACACTGGCATATGGAGATTTACTGGGTTTCCTCTTGGGTGCTTCAACCTATCAATAAAGGAAGTAGCACCAAAGTGTTACAAGATCTATTCAAAATTCAGACTCCAAAAGCAGTTTCAGGTGGAACCCTAGCATTTCTGAAAAGATCCCAGAAACAGATAAACATTCTTTAAGTGGTTTACAAGCAATAAACAAGCAGCAACAAAGTATACACCTACAGGTTTATGGAAAGTGATACAAGTGTAGCAACAAAATGAAATTCTGAAAAGGGAAAATTGAAACAATCCAGAATATCGATTTTCCCTATATAACATCAATAAATAACCGTACTCCATAAATTCTTTGTCAAATCAAATAACCCTTTCATTTTCTAATTGCCGAACAGAGTTCACACCAAACTCATTCCCAGGTTTCTATGGGCAAGCAATGCAGCAAACTTCACAATTTTCCATAAACAATGGTGGTTAATATTTTAGATGGTGTCTCAAAACAACTACAATATTTCAGTATGGGTCTCTTGTCATGGAGGTCAGGGTAGATGGAGCTACAAAAGTGACATCAAAAGCTCCAATCCCACCCATCCCAAGTTAACATTCAAAGGGGAAAAAAAAATTGCAACGACAACAACAACAGCTGTTGTGTTGTAACCTTTGTTAGGCCATTGTCTAAGTTACGAAAAGTATGGCTAGGAGGGAATTTTTAGTCCCATGTTGCCCATATACAAGGCTCTTTACAAACTTACAAGTGGGAAGGCTGCTTATTCCTCTAGGGGCTCAGAAGAGAGAGAAACTTGGAGCCTTAGGGTTGATTTCAATTTGTGTGTGTGCACAGCCGCCGGGCTGTGGCTGAGGTTAAGATATGGGTCATAGTCTTTTCTTTTGCTGACCAAACTTTTTCCACTGGCAAAGTCGTTGCCCAACCACGAAGGACCCTATGCCTCTACTTAGAGACCCCAACTTGCAATTGCTGTGAGGGCTTCCACCCACTTTTAACGCTTTTGACCACGGTTAAGGCTTTCATCACAGGTAAGGATATTTCTCTCTTCTCAATGCCCCAAAATGCTTTCCCAAGTGTCAATCACATGTCCAGTCTTTTGCCACATGTCGAACTCCCTGCAGTTAATGGAGTAGCTCTATATAAATGCCCTTCTTGTCCAAAGAAATGTTCCTTTATAAATACCCCTTTCCCATTGTTCAAAAAAACGAACCACTCGGCGCCTAGGCGGTCCAGAAAGCCTAGGCGCATCGCCCAAGCCTAAGCGGCCAAACTAGGCGGCAATCCTTGGGCGGTTGCCTAGGCGATATAGAATCCACCTAGGAGGGTGCCCAGCACCCAACCTTAAGCGGCCGCTCAGGGCCTGCACCCCGCCTAGGGGCGGAAATAAGTTTCTTTTTTTGTTCTATTGAGTTTTTTAAAACAAAAAAGCTTTTAAGGATGGGTTTTAGGTTCATTTGAAACCTAAACCAACAAGAACCCATCCAGAGATAAAGAAACCTAAAAAAAACTAAATTTTGTTATTTTCATTGGATTGAAATGTTTCTCAAAATTACGAAAAATAGATCCAAACATCGCCCATGTAGATTAGATTTAGTTTTGGAGGTTTTTAATCCTATTAGAGGGTGTTTTTTATTATTTTAGTATTAGAAAACATTTCAGATGTAGGAGTTTAGAGTTTGAGCAATCAAAATAAGTGCAAAACTTTATTTTTTAGATTGCTTATTTTATTTTGAGATGTACTCTTCAGGATCTAGTTGAAGTGGAGATTCAGGTTGGAACTATGGATATAACCCGAATCCAGATGACAAAAATTGCATTCGATGCAATTCTTGTGAAAAAGATACAAAAGGGGAAAAAACGGTTTATGCAACATCTTGCCAGTATTAAGGGGCATGTTGCCTCTTGTAAAAATGTTTCTAAAGCTATCAAAGAGGAAATTAAGCAATATATGAGTTCTGTAAAACAAAAACACGAATAAAATCCCTGTCAATTGAATAGATCTATTACTCGTTCTTATAGAAGAAGTGATCCAGGTTAGAAGTATGGTTATAACCCAAAACCAAACAATAAAAATTGTATAAGACGTAATTTTTGTAAAAAAGATATCAATGGGGGTATTAACCGATTCAAGAAACACCTTATCGATATTAAATGGAATGTTGCTTCTTGTAAAGAGTTTCTGAAGTTATTCGGGATGAGATTAGACAATTTCTGAATTTAAAAGAACCAGAAAATAATGAAAATGAGCCTTGTTCTATAGAAATATCTTCTCCAGGTTCTTCTAGAAGTGGTGATACGGGTTGAAAGTATGGTTATAACTCAAATCCACATGACAAAAATCGTATTAAATGTAATTATTGTGGAAAAGATACTGATTAGGGCATTTTGCCAGTATTGAGGGGGATGTTGCCCTGCGTAATAATATTCCTAAGGCTACCAAGGAGGAGATTATACAATATTTGAGTTCAAGGAAGCACAAAAAGATAGAAAATGGTAGAGCAGCAAGACTCCTAAAGCCTCATCTGTACATACTAGTAAGAGGGAGGTAGAAGAAGAGGAGGAAGATGTAGATTCAAAAGCAACAGAGGACGACGTCATATTGAAGAGGGAGGACACCGATGATGATGGCCCCGAATCTTATGCATATGATGAGCCTTATGATGACTGAACACTCTTGGTGTTGAGTGTTGACTATTGTATCCTAGATTGTATATTTTTTGAATTTATGTATATTTTCTTTTTCTTGTTTTTAGTTTCTACTTTCTAATTTCTAATTCTTCTAACTTTTGTGTGTACAGTCTATAGTGTATTGGACTATCAGTGTACGCTTGTATGGTTTTATTGTTTTAGCATTGAATGAAAATATGGATTATGGTCTTGTGGATTATCAAAATTCTCTTCTCGACTTCTATCTTCTTCTTTTTTTATTTTTCAACTGGGCCTCCCAGGTTCTGGGTGCCCTCTTAGGCATTGGGCAACCTGGACCCCCACGGTCGCCTGGGTGCCGCCTAGTGCTTTTTGAAACACTGCCCTTTCTAAATTGAAATTCGCTACACTCTCATGGACAGAGATCCTCATAACTTTCAGAGAAAAAGATTAATATCGATCAACTTTGGGATGGAGTGTGAAAAAGCTTAGAGAGAGACTACAGCTCAACACCCTTCAATCATAAGGAAGGTATACATAAATTATATGATTTCCAGTGTCGAATCTCGAATGTCTACAATTTTCTTTTTGTTTTAAGTCTACAACACTTTGTAACCATGAATCAAAGCTTTTCTTTCTATATAATGATTGGATGTAAATGAAACGAGTTGCTTACAAGTGCTTGAGACTCTTAATTCTTTTTCAACAAAAAAGCTTCCGATCTTTAAGCGATCCAAGGCAAGTTTGATCCCCATTTGTGTGTTGTTCTCCAATTTTCCCTTCGAGAGTCATTGGTCTAATCTTTTTTCTTCTTTTTTTTTTTTGAGAATGTAATGGTTTGTATTAAAAGAGGGTTAAAGGAGTACAACAGTGGTCTTATCTTTTTTCTTTAAAGTACATTTTTGAGCGAATCAGGGATGTATTACTGAAACCAAGGCGTATTGGAGTAATTTAAAAGAAGAATGTGGGTGAATGGTTGAAGTGAAAGAGGGTGAAACTTGGCTTTGCTTTTTGGCCATTCTCCTCTCTCTACTTATCTGTTCCCCAAAGAGCTGGAAAGGGTGGGAGGAGAGGGCCTTAGGGTAGAGAAAGACATGAAAATGAGTGGAGAAGAGATCAGAAGAGAGCGAAGAGAGAAATCTTGTTGAGTGTTAATACCTTATCTTGGAAAACATCACAACACATAAAGAAAATATACTAGCTACACAGGCCTAAGGTTTTCTAGTGTCTTTCATTACATATAAAAAGTGATTACATCACAGAATGAAAGGAATGGTTTCCTACGAGCCTGAAAGAACTCTTATTAAAGGTTCTTTTCTTTTCTCAAAACATTAAGATTTTCACCATTGGGGCCCACCTCCTTCAAGAATAGCTATATAAAACATAAAGCTATTAGGTTTCTGGGTACATTAACCTGATTGAAGGCCAATTTCATAATTTATACCTTGGAAATATAATTAGGCTTCTGGGTACATTAACCTGATTGAAGGCCAATTTCATAATTTATCCCTCAGAAATATAATTACCCAAAAACAAGACAACCTTTGCTTTAACTTGCTCGTTTGTACTAGCTCGAAACAGTCTCTAATGGAATCCTTTTGAGACATGCATCCAGTGGGACTAAGAACCATCCTAAAATGCAAAATAGATTTTCAACAACATTCCTAAAGACCTCTATTTTATATTTCCTCCCTACAAGACAAACTCTTGGTTTTCTAAACATGCTCGGGATAATTAAAGAAAATCTCCCCACAAGTTATCAACCCCAACTTGTCCCCAAATTCTACAAGGACCATTTTGATATGGCTCCATAATCCTAGGCTCATCAACAACCATTTGACCACATGGTCAAAAAATTCCACAAAAGGTTAGCCTCTGAGAAAGGTAGGTACCAGTCTTGGAGGGAGGATTACTCTCATCAAGGTCCCACTTTCCAATATCCCAATCTGCGCCGTCACTTTTCAAAATGCTGGCTAGCATTGTCATAAAGCTCAAAAGACTGATGAGAAAATTTCTTTGGGCTGGATATATATCCAACCATAAACCCACTTAATTGCTTGGAATCAAGTTTCTAAGCCCAAAAAGGTCTAAGGCCTCAGCATTCATAGGCTTAAGCTGATGAGCTGGGCTCAAACTGGCAAGTCGTTGTGACACTTCACCACTAACCACAACTTTCTATGGCGCTAGGTTGTCCTTTAGAAGTATGGCGCATTGATTTGCACGCTTTGTTTCCTGGGAGGAACCCATGGCCTTTAGAATTTTTCAGGTTTTTCAAAACTTTTATTCCTGTCATGAGCTCTTCATGCCTTTTAGTTGGGAGATCCAAGCAACGATGGCCAAAATTATACTAGTTAGTCCATGGCTCAAACACTTTAAGGTTTTTGCGTGAAACGTGCCAAATCAAT